TACTGCAGGCAACTGAAACACAATGGTAAGTATTTGTATATCTAAACATATGTAAACAAGGAAAAGATACTGTAAAAATACAGTATTATAATCTTATGGGATCACTGTCATATATATGACTGGTCACTGACTGAAATGTGACTGTGTGTGTGTGTGTGTGTGTGTGTGTGTGTGTGTGTGTGTGTGTGTATAATTTATATGCAAATGTAAATATATATTGAAAGTATACATAGTCAAAGTGTGTGTATAGTCAAAAAACTGTGTAAAGAAAAATATATAAAGTTTGAACAGACAAATGAAATAGATAAAACCTTTGATATATTACTTAGGACACTTTCAGTTGTGCCTAGATCAATCTCAGTTATAAATACTGAGGGTAAAAACCTAAAGAAAATATTAGCAAACTATATTCAGCAGTGAATTAAAGTTAATACACCATTATCACTATAAAGTTAATACACAGAATTTTATCCCTATAATTTATTACATAAATTTATTAATTGAGAAAAACCATGTGATTTCACCTAAAATACAAGTAAACAGATATTCCTAGTTAAAATAAGAATGGAGGTGGGGCATGGTGGCTCACACCTGTATTTTCAGCACTTAAGAAGGCTGAGGCGAGAGGATTGAGACCAGACTGGGCAACATGTGAGACCTCTTCTCTACAATAAATCAAAAAATTAGCTGGGCGTGGAGGCACATGCAGGTAGTCCTAGCTACCTGGGAGGCTGAGACAGAAGGATGACCTGAGCCCAGGAAGTCAAGGCTGTGGTAGCCAACATACTCCAAACTGGGTGACAGAGTGAGACTCTGACTCAAAAAAAAAAAAAAGAATAGATTAAAATATAAGTAGAAGGAAAACACTTAAAATACAGTGATCAAAAGGCAATTGTAAGTATCATAATGAATCATGCAATATTGAAGCATTTCTATTAAAATTAGAAGCAAGATAGATATGCATGTCATTACCATATTATTAAGCATTGTTTTAGAAGTAGTAGTTATTGTAATAATACGATAACATGAAATAAGTCTCATGCATACAAATTATATATGAAATTTTAAAATTATCTTCATTTGCATATGATATAATTACATGCCTAGAAATCTTGAAACTCCTATGAAATCCTTTAGAATTAATAAGATAGTTTGTTAAGTTTCTGGTGAAAGAAAAATATACAAAAATTTGTTCCAAGGTGTTCTCTGACTCCCTTTCTACTTCAGGAATACTGATCAGGTAAATTCAGCCTCTTAGGGCTGGCAAAAAAAATGTGGTACATATACACAATGGAATATTACATAGTCATAAAGGACAAAATTATGAACTTCGCAGCAACTTGGATGGACATAGAGGCTACAATACTGAGTGATCTATCACAGAAATAAAGAACCGAGTACCACTCATAAGTGGACCTTGAATAACTATTGTAATAGTGAAAGAAAGGGATTGGTTATAGTGGGAAACTGCCAGGGGAGGGCAGGGGCAGAACTGGCATTAGTGGGAAACTGCTGGGTGGGGGGAGCACCTCATCAACAAGGGTACCTGCATAATGAACATTTGTATAACTAACCCTGAATTGTACCCGTATCTTTAAAATAAAAAAATAAAAATAAATAAATGCAAATTCTCAGTCCATTAAAAAAAAATCAGCCTCTTAATATAATTGCACATCTCTTGGAGGCTTTGTTCTGTCTTTTAAAACTTCATTTCTATATTTTTAACAGTTTGGGCTAGTTCCATATTTTGGTCTTTAAGCTCTGAGATTCTTTCTTCTGCTTGGTTAATTCTGCTTTCCATGCTTGTCAGTTTGTTAGTTATTTTGTTCACTGTGCTCTTTATGGCCATCATCTCTGTTGCCCACTCTTTCATTCTTTCTTCTTGATTTTCTTGATTTTTATTCATCCTCTCCATCCATACTTCGATATCTGTTTTTGTGGTCTTGATACCAGTCACTCTGGGCACTCTTCATTGTTTGAGTTCCAAAGTCTGTATTCTCATGTGCTGACTTTGTATGGGTTTGGGGGGTACTTGTGTTCTTCCATTGATTCTTCTTTATTTGTGACAGATTTTTTTTACTTTTTTCTTTTCCCCCCTCTTTAATTCTGTTGCTCAGTGGTAAGGGGGATAGCTTTCTCTTCTGTTTGCTCAGCCCCCTATTCTTCCCTAGATAGAGCCTCTAGATTTGTTCAATTTTTGAAGCCAGACTGGGAGTGGGGGACTGTGATGTCTTTTTTGCAGTTTTGAGATTTTTAATAAGGTGTAATGGGAGGAGTTAAGATTCAGAAGCTACCTGCAGATCACAGTATTTGCTTACTGGAGTGTGGGATCCCCGGAGCCCGCTTCCCACCACCTCACAGTTTGTTCATGCAGTGGGAGTGCATATGCCCTAAAACCAAAATGACATAAGAGAAAGGAAAATAACAGAGAAAGAAAGAAGGAAGAAAGATTAAGAGAAAGAAGAAGAAAAGGGAAAACAAATAGGCAAGCAACAAGCAGATAAACCAAACAAAAAACCAAAACTGAAGCTATGCACTCCCTCAAATAAACCCATACACAAAAAAGGAGGGAAAAAAAAGGAGCAAATCAAAGCAGAGAGATATGTATAGACAGAGCAAGCCAAAAACAAAAAACAAAAAAAAACCTCCCAAAAAACAATAACACTAAACTTTCATGAGTCTTGAGCTCCCTCTTTTCTGAAACTTTAGGTTCCTTTTTTGCTAGCATGTCTTGAGCACTGTCGCTCTTAGCTCACTGGGGGAGAGAGCAGGCTCTGGACTCTAGACCCTACCCCCGCTCTCTGTGCAGTTACGGGTAGTGGGCAGGTGACTTTTGGTGATTGCTCTACCTGCCTGTTTCAGTGCTCTCCTTGCAGGCTAATCAGGCCACTCTCCACATGGGTCAGACATCCCATGGACTGCTGGAGGAAGGGGGCTGGGTCAGTTCAAGACTCACCCCTATGTGTCTGCTGCTAGGTCTCCCACTCTGATTGCATTTGTTGTCCTGTGAATGGATCCATGTGAGGGGTGAGGTATCTAGGATTCCATGCCAGCCCTGTATCTCTGGATATCATGCACCTGGAGTATCCTCTCTGGGCCAGCAGTGATCGATCCCAGAGAGGTGCAGAGATCATCCCTCAGTCTTAGGATACAGGCTGCTCAGCAGTAAGCAAGGTGGAGCACATCTCTGGGTTCTTGGACAGAGAAAATGGTGACAGCCCACGTCTTCTCCTCTGGCAGGACTCAGCTCCAGATTTCCTCCTTGTGCTTTTTCCATGGTTTCTGCTGCCAGTATCTGGCCTGTCACTACAAGTGGTGGTGTTGGGCCAGGTGCCAGATATCAGGAGGTGGCCTTGGAGAGCCTCTTTTCAAGAAATGCCTCAAGAATGGCAGATGATCCTGTGGTGGTGGATGCCGAATTCAGAGCAGTAGTAGATGGCAGTCACTTTAGCAGGGGAGTCCCGGGTGCTTATTTCTGTGTCTTCCCTCAGTCAAACATTCACTCACCCATTGGCGCGCGCACACACACACACACACACACACACACACACGCACACGCAGATTCATCCTTAAGCACCCTTACCCATGCAGAGACTCATATACACTGACTGATTCCATCGCCATCTTGTGAGAGATGTCCACGCTGTAAGGATAAAAGAAAGGATGAAGACAAATATAATTTGAATGATTAAATCATTGAAATGTGAGCTATTATCCTTAAAAAAATTTCTCAACCATTGTTAACTTATATGATGCAGGTGATAAAAACGTCTGAGGAAGAATCTTCCCTTCCCAACGGTGATGTAGTGGATGCACTGAGCACCACAGAGGTAAGGGCTGGTATCTTGAATCATCTTCCTTGCTACTAGTTTCCCCAGAATGTCTGTCTACTTGGTCCTAATCTCTCTCTGTCTTTCTCTCTCTCTCTTTCTCTATCATCCACCTATTTTCTTCATCATTATCATCATCTACCTAACTTTCTCTCTACCTTATTCATCCATCCATCCATCCATCCATCCATTCATATATCTTTCCATCCATGTATATATACCTGTTTACTTTATCTGTCTACTGTATCATCTGTCTATCTGTCTGTCTATCTTCATCATTATCATCTGTCTACCTTTCTCTCTACCTTATTTATCTATTTATCCATCTATCTATCCACCCATGTATATCTACCTGTTTATCTATCTGTCTTTTCTCTCTCTCTTTTTCTCTGTCTACCTCTCTGTCTCTCTGCTTTATCTGTCCATCCATTCATCTATGTATGTCTATCTGTCTGTCCACTTTATCTGTTTGTCTTCCTACCTTATCTATCTGTCTATCAATCTAATTTTTTTTTTAAGTTGGAGTCTCACTCTGTCACCCAGACTGGAGTGCAGTGGCTGCTCCCGGCCGCTGCAGCCTCGATCTGCTGGACTCTGGAGATCCTTCTGCCTCAGTCTTCTAAGTAGTTGGAACTACAGGCGCGCGCTACCACACCCGGCTAATTGTTTTTTTGATTTATTGTAGAGATGAGGTCTCGCCAAGTTGCCCAGGCAGGTCTTGAACCCGCGGGCTCAGACAATCCACTCACCTCGGCCTCCCAAAGTGCTGGGATTACAGGCTAAGCCACTGAGCCCGGCCTATCTATCTAATTTTTAATCTCTAGAATTATAAAGGCTCCTGCCATATAAGCAATAGAAAGCAAACACTGTGTCAATTCTTTGAAGTTCTCTTCATAAGTCTTAAGTGGGTGAATTGAAATTCCTCACTCTGGCAGTTTATTACTCTGCCATGCACATCAGTCAGTTCTATTGACTTACCCTATAGATCCAATCAGCAAGTTTGGGGTTTGGGGATCCTATGTTCTGGTAGTTTAAGTGACCTAATAGATTGGAGTTCTATGCTTGCTTTGTTTATATACTATGTATCTAATCAAGAAAGCCACAGCATGCCTGGTTTTTCTTTGGGAGTTCATCTAAGGTTATTGATATCCTGGGTTTCTTTATGACCAGGGAGCAGAGAAGGCTGAAGAAAGTGGAGAAAATGAGACACAAAAAGAGAATGATGAAGGTGCTGGTAAACTTGCTGAATCCCAGGAGAAGAATGTGAGTGTTTGCTTTGTTCACAGTAGTTTGAGTGGATCCAATTCTGTTCAACAACACTTCCCGGGCTTCTACTTCCCAGTTCTGGGCACACAGAAATGAGGAAGAAAGTGAGGAGTCGAGTGCTTAGTTGGGAGGAAATAGGTCATTTCACTAATGTGTAAACCATGGTGGTTTACAGAAGAGCATAAATCACTAGAACCTGTATATCTTCTATATATATATATATATAAATATTCAGGTTCAGGTGCAGAGAGGGCCAAAGGGAAGACAGAAGAAGGACCTTGTACCCAGGCCTGGAGGGAGTCAGCTGACAAGGCTTGAATCATTTGTTGTTGTGTTGTTGTGGTTAAGTTCAGCGTATGTTTTTTTCAAACAGATACCTTGCTTCTTGGTCATGATTAACAACAGACTCCTTGCATACAACCACCCAAGGGTCTTGCCTGGTGGGGAAACAGAGCTGAGGGTGTGGACTGTATCTGTGGGAAGACAATAGGAACATGAGGGTGAAAAAGAGACCAGGGGGCAGGGGGTGGGGTTCGACACTCAATTAAAGTCTAATTAGGGAAATAGCAGATCCCAGAGATGTCATGTGATGAAATTCTAAAGGGGTTCCCATTCAGGAGCAACAGGATGGGGACTGGGGCTTGGAGAAGGGAGACTGTGGTTCTGTGAGTGGTGAGTGGTGAGTGTGCCAAGCCGAGATCATGGAGCATCAGATGGGCCACGTATTCAAATAATTCTTTTTTTTTTTTGGAGTTGGAGTCTCACTCTGTCACCTAGACTGGAGTGCAGTGGCCGCTTCTGGTCACCACAGCCTCGACCTGCTGGGCTCCGGCGATCCTTCTGCCTCAGCCTTCCAAGTAGCTGGAACGACAGGCGCGCGCTACCATGCCCCGCTAATTTTTTGATTTATTGTAGAGATGAGGTCTCGCCAAGTTGCCCAGGCGCGTCTCGAACTCTCAGGCTCAGGCAATCCACTCACCTCAGCCTCCCAAGGCACGGGATTACAGGCTGAGCCACCGAGCCGGCTCAAATAATTCTTAAATGTGTGGAGAAGCCAAGTGTGGGAGGGCTGACTGCGGAGGAGCCTGGTGGGACTGGGGTGTGGGATGCAGGCACTGGGCTGGGCCTCCCTGTAGGAGAATCTCCCCGGGCTTCTCCTGTGGGCCAGTTGTAGCAAAGCCTGTTATCAAACCCTGATGGTTTACTTTTTGTATATTTACTAATTCCAGGAGAGATGTGGAAGCCTTTGTAGGAGTTGGGCCTTCATTCCCAGCAGATAGAAAGTGGCTACCTAGGAAGGAGACCCACAACTACAGTTTGGAAAATGGGGGTGTGGGGCAGGCATCCATTTGTCTTTATTTTAAGGAATTTAAATTTGGGAGAAGCCAGGACAATACATTCCCTGTCAGTTAGACTTATATTTGAAACAGACTGTTATTTCAAAATGTTGATAATTTGCAACTCTGAAGTATTTTTTTTTTTTTTCAGTAGGCGTCTCACTCTGTCACCCAGGCTGGAGTGCAGTGGCACCCTCATGGCCACTGTAACCTTGACCTCCTGGGCTCAGGTGATCCTTCTGCCTCAACTTTCCAAGTAGTTGGAACCACAGTCGTGTGCTAATATTTTTTTATTTGTTGTAGAGAAGAGGTCTCACCAAGTTGCCCAGACTGGTCTTGAACCTGTGGGCTCAGGTGATCCTCTTGCTTCCACCTCCCAAAATTTTGGGATTACAGGTGTGAGTCATTGTGCCCCGCCCGAAGTTTGTTTTGGAAAATGAAAATCTTCAATCTTGACCTAGAAGTTAGATAGGATTTTATGGCAGCCTGTCTAATTCAGAAATAATACTTGTAAAATTAAAAATAGTGACAGTTTCATTATCTTATAACTTTAAAAAAATCTGTGTTTTACAATCTGAACTTTGCATAAATTGACTAATGTACTCTTACAGTATTATTATTTCTTTGGGGATTAGTTTGTTTCTTTTAAGACATAGAGACAGATGAAAAGTGATATACTCAGTTGCTTTCTCTCATGAGACCAGAAGGAAGATAGCATTTATTTTTTGTTTTTAGTGACAGGGTCTTGGTCTGTTGCTTAGGCTGGAGTACAGTAGTGCAATCATGGCTCACTGTTGCCTTGAATACCTGGGCTGAAACAATCCTCTTACCTTGATCTCCCGAGTAGCTGGGACTACAGGCATAAGTCACCATGCCCAGCTAGTTTTTTTACTTTTTTTTTTTTTTTTTGTGGAGACAGGGTTTCACTATGTTGCCCAGACTGGTTTCAAACTGCAGGCCTCAAGCAATCCTCCTGCCTCCAACTCCTAAAGTACTGGAATTGCAGGCTTGCGCCACCACGCCCAGCCTATTTTTATGAGCAGATCCTGCCTCCTATAGCCAGGGTAGGATTTGCTTCTGCTTCTCAGCCACTGAACTGGGTTAGTTCTATGAAGTGATGAGTCATCCAGCTTGGATGTGCTCTTTGTGAGGCCTTCTCAAAATGGTGAGGTTGTGACAAAATAAGTTATAATCTTGTGAATTCTGATAGGAATTTAAAAAATCATTTTTGTTGTTTTTGCTTGGGTTATGGTGAAGAAATGACTGCAAGTGAAAGATATTTTTATGTTTGATGAATATTTTATTAACATATTATCAAATTCACTTTTCAATATTTTTAGGTTTATTTCATTTATTTATTTATTTTTGAATCAGAGTCTCACTGTCACCCAGGTTGGAATGCAGTGGCACAATCACGGCTTACCTCAGCCTTGACCCCCTAGGTTCAGATGATCCTTCTGCCTCAGCTTCCCAAAGTAGCTGGGATTACAGGTGTGCACTACCATGCCTGGCTAATTTTTTTTTTTTTTTGTAGAGATGAGGTCTTACTACGTTCCCCAGGCTGGTCTTGAACTCTTGGGCTCAAGTGATCCTGCCATCGCAGCCTTCCAAAGTGTTGGGATTATAGGTGTGAGCCACCACGTCCGGCCTACTTTTTAATTCTTTAATACTATTTATTCTACATAAAGACAGATTCTGACTTTTTTCACCGAATGAGCAACACCTGCTATTTGACTTAAGTTAATTCAATTAAAAAGAAAAAAACTCAATGTCAGTAAACAGATAAAAAATATAATACGATTAGCTTTCATGCCTATATATAAGAATAGAATAAAATTGAAAATTAAAAAAGGAGGTCAAAACTATCTGATATTTAGAATGCTTGCATTTTGTACGTGAAGGATCTACTAGCTTGTTTTTTTTTTGAGTTGGAGTCTCACTCTGTCGTCCAGACTGGAGTGCAGTGGCATGCTCCCGGCCACCGCAGCCTCTACTGCTGGGTTCCAGCGATCCTTCTGCCTCAGCCTTCCGAGTAACTGGAACTACAGGCACGCGCAGCTTGTTTTGATGTATGTTAGAGGCTGAGATAGGAGGACGTCTTGGGCAATTTGTAAGGGCATCTTTCCTCCCAGTGCACCCAGGTGTTGACAGGCTGAAATGGAATCAGAAAGCTTATGTTTTCTAAACACTGGTTTTTCAAAGTACTAGGCAAATACAGGTAGTTTCACCTAGATATTAGCCTTCAGGTAAATCCAAGGCTTTAAAAACTGTGGCTCTGTTGAAAACTGTCTTGAGGCAATTTGATGGGTTCCTGCTTTTCTCTTTTCCCAGCTCATTATGGTTAAACATCAGGGCTCCCCCTGGGCTTTCCTCCTTAGCGATCACACTATGGTGGATACAAAGTTTAGAATATAAGTGGGCCTACATTTGGTTTCTAAGGCTCATGGGCAAGGAATGTCAGCTTCCTTTATTTTTCCAAACGTCACTCTATCTGCTTCATGCCCCCATCTCATGGCTGGCAGAAACTTCACCCTGGAAATGGTGCTTTGGAGACCTTTCCTTCCTAGTGTTTTACTAATCCTGGAATCATCAGTGGTGACTAGGGAGGGAACTAGAGAACTGGTGCTGGTTCTGGGTTTTTTTTTTTTTTTTGGTCAGAGTTTCACCTGTTGGTCAGGCTGGAGTGTAGCAGCATGTTCACAGCTACTACAGTCTTGACCTGCTGAGCTCAGGCAATCCTTCCACTTCAGCCTTCCAAGTGGTGGGGACCACAGGCGTGCACCACAATGTTCGGCTAATTTTTTGATTTATTGTAGAGATGAAGTCTTGCCATGTTGCCCAGGCTGATTTCGAATCCCTGGGCTCAAGCTACCCTCTCACCTCTGCCTCCCAAAGTGTTGGTATTATAGGTATGAACCACTGTGCTTGGCTGGCACTGGGTCTTTTTCCGTGGTTGTATTTCTGCTGCCTGTTTCTTGGCATGAGTTGGACAGTCTCTCTGGCTGGACACAGACATGCTCCTCACAGTGGCTGGTCTTCTGACCTCACACACTGCCTCCCCTGCAGAGTGCCTGGTTCTACTCAAATATCCCAGAAGCCCGTGGCATAGCCTGGGCAGCACCCCTTCTGGAAATTCCCTTCTTTCTTCAGTCTGGCCCCTTCAGTCTTGCCGACTCCAAGCCCTAAGTGAGGCATGTCCAACCTGTTGCCACATGTGGCCCTTGAAAGCTAGTAATGTGGCCCCATAAAGTCTTTTAGCATCATATGATTTTTAGCATTTATTTTCTTTGTGACTCCATTTTTGTGTAGCTCCATTTTTGAAGTTCACAATCAAGACTTATTGATGATATTGCTTTTTGGCAGTGCATACATTTGTGAGCAGCTGTTTTCAATTATGAAACACACAAAGAGCAAAATTCAGACAACCATTTTTGAAGAGCACTTTGAGAACTCACTAAGAATCGCAACCGCTTTCATAAAACTGACATTGATAGATTAGTTTTACAAAAACAAGGTCAAATTTCCCACTAGTTATATATTGTTCTCATTTTTCTAAACTTTACAATAAAAATATATTTAAAAACTATATTATATAATTTATGTGTGGCCCCAAACAATTCCTCTTTACTTGCGGCCCAGGGAAGTCAAAAGGTTGGACAC